TATCTTACAACAAACATGTGTTATTTCTAAAAACTAGTCTTTTCATGGCATTTTCAAAGCTGGATTTCCTAGCACTGAGGACAGTGCAAAGTCTATGATAAGGACTCTGAAGACATCTCTGGAGAGACCCCAAATCATTTTAGTTAGCTCACAATGACATCACATCGCACAGGATGTGTGCACACACACAAAACCCCAGATGCACAAGGATCAAAATATAAAAGGTAAAAATATAAAGTTTATGGAAGACCGTGTAGAAGAATATCAACCTGATCTTAGGGTAAGGGCACAGTTGAAAATGGTGACCACATTGGACTACATCGAAATTAAGAACATCTATTCATTGGAGAGTGAAAAGGCCAACCGTGGGAATAAGAAGATATATTCAAGACATATCACTGACAAAGGGCTCATGTCTGGAATTACGCTCTTACAAATCAGTAAGGAAAAAAAACACAATAAAAAATAGGTGAGAAACTTAAGAGCACTTCAGAAAAGAGGAAATCCAAATGGCCAATAAACACTTACACAGTAAATGTGCTCAACCTTATCAGTAATCTGGGAAATGAAAACTACCCCAAGATCGACAATAAAATAAAGGCAGACAGAACCTAGTCTAGACTAGGATGTGGAAGATCAGAGTTTATGCAAATTGCTAGTGAGTGTATAAACTGGTGTAACCACTTTAGAAAACAGCATTATTTAGTATGTGGAAGCTTGTGTACCCTATGACTCAAGCAATTCACTCCTGCGTAATATTCTCGTGAAATTGGGGCATCCATACCCAAGGAAATATTGTGATGTTTACAGTAGCACCTTTCACAATAGCCAAAACCTGAAAATGATCTAAATGCCCATCAACAGTGTTGTATATTTGTACCATAAGATACTGCCTGACAGTGGGGGTGCCTAGTGGCTCAGTCAGTTGAGCCTCTCTGACTTGATTTTAACTCAGGTTATGTTTTCAGGGTTGTGAGATAGAGCCCCACTCTGGGCTCTGTGCTGGGTGTGGAACCTGCTTAGGGTTCTCTGTCTTCCCTCTCCCTCGGACTCTCCCTGCCCTCTCTAAAAAAAGAAAAAGAAAAAGAAAAAAAAAAAAAGATACTATCTGGCAGTGAAAATGAATGGCAGCTACAGACAACACAGGTGTATTTTACGCAAAATAATGTAGCACAAAAGCAGACACATAAATACATAGCTGTGATTCCCTTAATTACGAGTTTAAAAATCATACTGTTTTGGAATTCATGCTTAGGTGATAAAACTAAACAAATATGAAAGCTTGGAAAGGGTTTGCTTCAGAGAGGATGGGAAGGATGGTTATGCTTGAGAAGACACAGAAAGGTTTCTGGATACTGTCAATTTTCTCTTTTATTGTAGTAAAATATACATAACACAGCATGTACCATCTTAACCATTTTTAAGTGTACAATTCAGCGGCATTAAGTACATCCACCCTGCTGTGCAACCATCACCATTATCCATCTGTAGAACTTTTTTTATTGTCCCCAGCTCACCCTCTGTACTTACTAAAGAGTTAACTTCCATTTCCCTCTGTCCCCAGCCCCTGGAAATCACCATTCATTCTACTTCTGTCTCTGTGAATTTGACTACTCTGGGTACCTCATCTGATGAAATCATAAAGTCTTTGTCCTTTGCGAAGGGTTATTTCACTTAGCATGCTGCCTTCAAGGTTCATCCATGCTGTAGCACATTTAAGAATTTCCTGCCTTTTCGGGCTGAATGATATCCCACTGTATATATCCACCACATTTTGTTTACCTGTTCATCCATCAGCGGACACTTGGGCTGTTTCCACTCTTTTGCTATTGTGAATAGTAAAGCTGCAATGAACATGAGTGTACAAATACCTGTGTGAGTCCCTGCTTTCAATAATTTTCTATTTTCTTGACAAGAGTTTTAAAATTATTCATAGTGCCAATTAATGCTTAATTCATTTTCTATATGTGCATTACATTTCATAAGAAGATTTTTAGAAAAATCCTATAGATCTGGAATTCAGTTACCATGGAAACTAGCTTTCTGATTCTGTTTTTGCCTTTCTTCCTGTGATCCTCTCTCTCTTGTCCCTTCTATGAAGCAAGCAGTGCTTTCTTGCCCATTTAAAAATAAACCTTTTAGTGAGGTATGAAACCTACAGAAAATTGTGCAAGTAATAAACATCAATGTGACAAATTATTCACAAAATGAACAGTCTCGTTTGAGGGTATGTGTTAGGTACATGAAGGGTGTGTGTCTGGAAACAAAATAATGCACATTTCAGGAGGTCAACAAAGTGTCTATCTATCTATCTATCTATCTATCTATCTATCATCTATCTCTCTATATCTATCTGTTTATCATCATCTATCTATCTATCATCTGTCATCTATTTAAGGAGGTCAACAAAGCTTTAAACTGAGAAACAAGTAACTACTTAGATCTAAGGAGGTAAATAACATGATATTGTAAAGTTTAAAGTGTTTGCCTCTCAGGAGTGAGTACTGGGGGTGAAAAAGTATTGGGGCAGTATGTTATTCTTTTCATGATTTATGTATTTGACTTTAGAAAATATATACGTGCTACATATTGCAATTTGAGAAATAATTTCCTATTTACAATAAATTAATCAATATCTATAATCTATCCTCCTCCACTCTAAACCTTTGTCATCATTTCAAATGTTCCTCTAGGTTCTTCTCTGTTTTGTTTAAAATACCTTGACTTTTAGTATTATCTTGATACCATGTTTTAAATCATGTCTCTACTATTTGGACTTATTTACGAATTGTGGTAAGCTTTTTGGCCACATTTTATTTCCTAGCTATAAATTAGACTGGTGTCTTTACCCACAACAGCATCTACTATCCCATGTTACAATTCTGACACCAGTTATGTGTTTTTCCCAACACACCACCAAGCAATTCTCTGACTCCTGAAGGATATCCTACAGTTCAACCCAATTCAAACACTATCTCCTTGGAGATAGCATCAGATGCCACAGATTAAGGATTCAGCCCTACAAGACTGCCCACCCTCCCATTTCAGACATCAAAATCCGGGCTGTTACCTGTGCTTCTGACTGACTGGCTACAGGTAGACTGGAGGTCCAACAACCGCCTCCTTGGGTTTGACTAATTATGGGTTTAACCTAATTACAGCCAGATGGAAGAGATTCACAAGGCAAGATATGCGGAAAGGGTGTGGAGCTGCCATGCCATCTCCGAACTGAGCTACTGTCCCCGAATTTGCACCTGGTCACCAACCTGGCAGTTCCCTGAACCCTGTCCTTTTGGGTTTTTATGGAAGTTTCATGACTTGGTGTGACTGATTAAATCACTGGCCACTGGTGATCAATTCAATCTCCAGCCCCAGGCTCCTTCCTGGAGGTGGTTGAACGGGTAGAACTCAAAGTTCTACCCTCCAATCACATGGCTGGTTCCCAACCCTTGGGTGCTTCCCAAAAGTCACCTCCTTAACCAACTCAGGTGTGACTGAAAGGGGTTTGTTATGAAAATCAAGACCTCTTTATCACTCTTACCACCTAGGAAATTCCAAGGATTTTAGGAGCTCTGTACCAGAAACAGAACAAAGACCAAATACATATATTATAAATCACAGTAAAACATGTCTTCCCATTGCTGGGATATTTTGCTGTTATTCCTTCTTTTTGGTGGAATAGATCTTCCAAGTAATTTTCTGAGAAATGGTTTTTGAGTGCTCAGTTATGCGTTCTTCTAATTTTTCGCTCATACAAAAATTCCAAATGCTAACTCCTGAGAAATTCTTAAATAAAATCATTTCAGAGTCTTTCCCTTTGCCCTTGATACACATTCACCATGGTCTATTTTATATATTACATTGAGATTGAATTAACCTGATTTTTCACCTACAGGGCTGTAAAATGGCCTGGCAACCAAGGATCCTGCATTGTTAGTGTCCAACACTGGTAGGTATTCAACATTTATTCTTTTCTTAAATAACAAGGGGATGGGAGCACAGGAAGATAATCTTTATGTCAGCAGCTGGGGAGGGAAGACAATGAGAAACTCCCGCTAAGTCTTAAAGATAGGCCAGAATGCAGAAGAGGCTCTTCGTTTTTGTTATGGAAGATTTATTGGCCAGAAAGGAAGTAAGACTCCAAATAGAAAAATGGTAGCATATGCCAAGATGCAGGTGTGCGGAGATGCATGATTTGCTTGGAGGACATGGGTGACAGTGACAGGCTCTGAGGTGCTGCTAATGTCAAGATTAGCCCATTTAAGGAGTTTCTGTGATGTCTTGTAGAATATGAAGAGATACAGGGTTTCCCCTCTCTGGGATACCTATGTCCGCAAAGGTAAAGCAAAAAAATGGACTACGATCAGTGATTTTAAAAATATTTTCTAAAAAAGCAACGAAAAACTCCATCCCCCACCATGCCTGCACACCAGTTTAAGAATTCTAGCTTTGTTAAAGTTAAAACAAGAGCTGTTTTAGCCATCAGTAGGATGAAGAACTTAAGCCTATACCTCTTCTTCTCCTTCTTTTTCATCAATAATGTGGCCATTGAAGAACTGATAGGCTGTGCTGAAAATAAGGAGGAAAATGACAAGTGACTTCCAACCAGAGGGTGTCTGAAGAAGCATCCTGGAAACTGCACTTATAGCAAAATGATCAACAGGGTTTCATTTTTTGAATGCAGCGTCAGTTTAAATATGGTAAACACGGATGATCTGGGATGATTGCAACACCACACTAGAATTTCTACCGAATGTATGTGGAGGCTAAAGGGCGAGAGTGGGGAGGAGAACATCAGGAGAACTCCTGATGCCAGGAGTGCCTGGGGTCAAATACTGAGAAATACTGGGCTACTGGTCTCCAAGTTTCCCTCCCAGTCCTGACACTGAGCTACAGAGGGCCCTGGGCTGCATATATTCATGTCACAAAGCTCCCTAAATAAAAGTTTACTGGCGTTGATGAAAATCTTTGTAGATCTGAAGAATAAGATTCCACAACTA